TTTTTTGCACATAAATAAAAATAGTGGGAAAATACCTTTCTACAGAGATCCCATAAGTCTAAATTAAAATAGTTTTGGCCCAGTTATTTAAGTTTTTCGTAAATCAATCTTTGAAAAAAGTAAAAAAAACAGCATCAACAAGTAAGAAAGTCTAAGTTCGGGCGGAGCCGAACATTAAATACCCGGCGCAAGTATTAAATATATGTTTTTTCACCTTTCCGAAACCTTCCGCTAGATGGTAAGCAGGGGTGTATCAATTTTGAGTAAATTAGCGTCCTTCAATTTCGAAATAGTGAAGTTTCAAGCATTTCTGAAATTTACCGTTATATGAGAAGCGGCCGTTATTTTAGTCCGATTTCAATAATTTTCAACGTTTTGCTTATAAGTGGCAAGCACAATAACCACACCGAGTTTGGTACAAATTGGTAGAACGGTTACCGATATACTAATATGTGATCATAAGTGGGCGGTGCCACGCCCATTTTCCAAAATTTTACCATAAACGTATTTCTTGGTAAAGAATTGTTGCAAGCATCAATTTTGAATAAATTAGCTTCAATATTTAGTGATTTATCGAAGATTTTGTATTTCTCTAAATTACCGTTATATGGGATGTGGGCGTGGTTATTGTCCGATTGTACCAAGGCCAATAACTGTGCCAAGTTTGGAAGAAATTGGTGCAGCGGTTACCAAGATATACACATGTAACCATAAGAGGGCGTGGCTAAACCCATTTTCCAAAAATTTATAATATTCTTATTTTTCGTCTAAAACTTATTATAAATATCAATTTTGAGTGAATTATCTTCTTTAGTTACTAAAATATCGCAGTTTTCGTATTTCTGGAAATTACCGTTATATGGGAAGTGGGCGTTTTCGCCCATTTTCAATACCAACCTACCTTGGATTAAGGGAAACCTACATACCAAATTTCGTTGAGATATCTCAATTTTTGCTCGAGTTATCGTGTACACGGACGGACGGACAGACGTACAGACGGACGGACAGACAGATATGGCTTAATCGATTTCTTTTTTCATCCTGATCATTTATGTATACATTTGTCTATATCTATCTCGATTCGTTTTGGCTGTTACAAACAACCGTTATGTGAACAAACTTAATATACCCTTGTGCACAAGTGCGCTCGGGTATAAAAATCTCATTATTACGATTCCGTTGAAAAGATTTCTAAATATTTTTATGCAGAATTTTTAAGCCTAATTTGTTTTGTCATCTGAGGGGACTTTTTTCAAAAAGTTCTTTAAGAAGATATTTTTATTCATAAAAAACTCAATTTTTGGAGGTATTTTCAAATCGGTGCAGCTCGCTTAAATCTTCATATTTTTCCGAAATATTTTGGTGGACGTATAAAAATATAATAAATTTTGTAATCCCGGCGGAAAAACCGCAACTTTTTTTGGTGATGCAGTTTAATGTACATAGTTAAAAAATATTCGGCCTTATTATGGTTGTCGACGTCGATGTAATTTTTTCATCAAAAAATAGCCCTCATAAGTCGAATTCCAGCTACGCTGACCACAGTATTTTTGAGGAAAGGTGTTCCTCTCAAAAAGAATGTGGTAAGCGTAGCTGGAGTTGCACTTACGAGGGTTATTTTGAATCATTTTGGCTTAAATTTTTTTGGAATTTGAGTGAATACCTGTGTTGATATTGTGTCGACACAACAATATTCAAACAAAGTGAAAATAAATTGATTTTTCGTTCTGAATATGAC